ATTTATCGCAGTTTTCGTGTTTCTGTAAATTACCGTTATATGGGAGGTGGGCGTGGTTATTGCTCGATTTCAGAGATTTTCAAAAGATTTCTTAGCTAAGCCCTAGGTAAGGCTCGTACCGAGTTTGGTACGGAATGGTGAAGCGGCTACTGAGATGCAGCATTTCATCATAAGTGGGCGTGGTCCCACCCATTTTCCAACAATTTCTTAATAACACTATTTTTTACCAAAATTCTGCTTCACATACTAATTTTCAACGATTTGGATCCAATATGAATGATTTTTGAGAGCCCAAATATGAAGCGATTTCAAGTTTCTTTCTTTTTTTTAATAAAAGATAACTAAATTTCACGTCGATCTATCCATGTCGATTTTTAACAAAAATCTCTGTTTTTTTATTTATTTATTTTGAAAAATGAAAGAAACAAAATTTCACGCTTGGATGCTTCCGTTTTTTTTTTGGAAAATACTTGAAATTAATTTCAAATGTCGGCAGTTCTTTAAAAAAATATCCATAAACTTTTTTCCATAGGACATATTTATTTAATTAAAAAATGTATTTCATTCGTTATCTATACTAATATATATTTTGCTTGCCACATAAAAGCAAAAAAAATTATTGAAATCAGACTAAAATTACTGCCACTTTTCATATAACGGTAAATTTCAGAAATGCTTGATTTAGGGGCGCTAATTTACTCAAAATTGATACTAACAACAAACACTTGAAAATAAGTAACATTGTTGGGAATTTTGGGAAATGGGCGTGATACCGCCCCCATATGACTATATAAGTTTATCTCATTATGTCTAGCTGAACGTTCTATCGAAAATGTTTAAAATAGGGGTAAAACTACCCCGGCTTACCTTGTAGCGATAGTTTTCGAAAAGGAGAAAAACATATATGTAATACTTGCGCCGGGTATTTAATCTAACTAGTGAACCCACATGGCGTCAAAACGACAGCGTTTAATTAAATTTTTTAAACAGGTGAAACTCTATTCAAAAACCTCTAACTATATTTTTATTAATTAATCTAAACCATTTCTCAGTGAGAGAATAACGGTGCAGATGTGATGACCTTCAAAAAAAAAAAA